AGATGCAGAAAGACAGAAATAGTTAAAATCAAGGAGCAGCAATGTGAATAATTATTAAATTTGTTGCATGAGGAATATGATTATGGGCCAAGCAGTTCTTTACAAATCTGTAATGATGTGGCAGACATTAAATTAAACCCTTTGATTTATTGCAAAGTTGTGCATCTGGGCATTTGACAAAAGTGCTCCAACGCGCATTGGGCATTTCTAATGCACACAGGGCACTCCTGTTATGCACTGGTGCTTCCTAGGTCATGTGCCATTATGTATTGGGGGTAGGGTTGCCATAACTCTCTACCACCAAACTGGGACAAAATGTAGGGCAAAATTTAGGCCCAGATGTAGGACATTAAAGAAAAATGGAGGACACAACCAACTAAAAGCCAAAAACATTAATATTTAAAAAAAAAACATTTATAAATCTATGCTTCTGAGGAGATTTTTGACATTCTTCCTGGACAGAAAAGGTTGAAATGTAGCTCCTCTTCTCTGGAAACAAGTTGAAGGCACGCAACAACAAACATAATAAAATACATCGGAGGAAGTAGAATTCAAAGACTTAGGGCAGGGGTACGCAACCTTTCCCCTTTAAGGACCGAGGGACTTCAGCTCCCAGAAGCCTCAGCCATGTTGGCCAATAGTCCCATGTTGGCCAATAGCTCCTGGGATTCTGGGAGCTGAAGTCCCTCAGCTCTTAAAGGGGAAAGGTTGCCTACCCCTGACTTAGGGCCTTTGCAGACTGCCAGAAATAGTGCACTTTAAACTGAGGCACTGCCCTGGCTCAGTGCTAGGGAATCATGGGAATTGCATTTTTTTCTGAGACATTGAGCCTTCTCTGTCAGAGAGCTCTGGTGCCACAATAAATTACAGTTCCCATGATTCCCTAGCACTGAGCCAGGGCAGTGCCTCAATTTAAAGTGCACTATTTCTGGCAGTCTGCAAAGGCCAATAGAGATTTTGGAGCTCCTCTGAGAATTTAAATGCATCTGAGGAAGCAGACTTTAGCCTAGGAAAGCTCATGCCCCACTGAAAGCGCGGCCAGGGAGGCCAAGGGACAGAGGCAGCACCAATACCCGCCCAGTCCCCAGCCTTACCTGAACCCAGCTCCTCTGCCATGTTCCAGTGCCTCCACAGTCCTCCTTGCTGCCGTGGCCTCCCTCCATCTCCTTGGGGCCCAGCCAGCCGGCTGGGGCGCCACGTGGCTCCATTGCCGCTGAGGGAAAGGCCTTGCCGCAGAGGCCTCCCTCCTCGGGGCCTTGCTGTGGCAGCCTCCCTCATTGGGGCCCAGCCAGCCAGCCAGCCAGCTGAGGCCCTGCATGGCTCCACTGCCACCGGAGGAGAAGCCTTGCCATGGCCACAGTCCTCCTTGGGGCCCGGCCAAGTGGCTGAGACTCCGCGCGGCTGCGCTGCCATTGGAGGAGAGGTCTTGCCATGGTGGGCTCCCTCTTTGGGGCCCAGACAGCCGGCTAAGGCCCCGCACGGCTCCACCACCACCAGAAGAGAGGCCTTGCCATGGCAGCCTCCCTCCTTAGGGCCCAACCAGTTGGCTGAGTCCCCTCATGGCTCTGCCACTGCTGGAGGAAAGGCCTTGCCATGGCTACGGCCCTCCTTGGGGCCCAGCTGGCCAGCTGAGGCCCTGTGTGGCTGCACCACTGCCAAAGGAGAGGTCTTGCCATGGTGGAATCCCTCTTTGGGGCCTGGCCGGCCGGCTGAAACCCTGGACAGCTCCACTACCACCAGAAGAGAGGCCTTGCTGTGGCGGCCTTTCTCCTTAGGGCCCAGCTGTCTGGCTGAGGACCCACATGGCTCCACCTTGCCATGGCAGCTTCCCTCCTCAAGGCCTTGCGTGGCAGGCTGAGGCCCTGTGTGGCAGGTGGCAGTTGTCAGAGTATTGATGGGATATACAGTCAATGGTGAAATGTAAAGATGTGTGTGTCTGTATTTTTTCCATGAGAACATGCTTCTCAGCCGAACACAACAACTCAGTCCAGGTGGCCTAAAAGACAAAACAAAAAGGAAACCACTAGATGGGAAAGTGTTCTTGTTTACACACAGGAAA